CCCTATACAAGATAAATTAAATTAATTTTTTTTGGGGATTTCGTTTTTCGCGATTATCTCGGAAGCTATGAGAGATAGAACCTTAAAACCAATTTTGGGTTTCCTATAGGAGNCGTAGATTATTCAGAAAAACGGTACAAACGTTTTTCTGAATTTTATTGGTGTTTAGTGACGAGTAGGTGTTGGTACAAATGTCCAAAAGTACGGCAGGATTTTTTGGTGATTTCGTTATCGCGATTATCTCGGAAACTATAAGAGATAGAGCCTTAAAGCCTATTCCATTCGATTCCTGAGGGAATTTGGGTTCCCTACAGGCAGATGGGCGGCTCAGAATTGCGTTTTTCCACGTCCTATACCCTATACAAGATAAATTAAATTAATTTTTTTTGGCGATATCGTTTTTCGCGATTATCTCGGAAACTATGAGAGATAGAGCCTTAAAACCTATTCCATTCGATTCCTGAGGAAATTTGGGTTCCCTATAGGAAGGTGGACGGCTCAGAATTGCGTTTTTCCACGTCCGACACCCTATACAAGATAAATTGAATTAATTTTTTTTGGCGTGTTCGTTTTTCGCCATTTTCTCGGAAACTATGAGAGATAGAGCCTTAAAACCTATTCCATTCGATTCCTGAGGAAATTTGGGTTCCCTATAGGAAGGTGGGCGGCTCAGAATTGCGTTTTTCCACGTCCGACACCCTATACAAGATAAATTGAATTAATTTTTTTTGGCGTGTTCGTTTTTCGCCATTTTCTCGGAAACTATGAGAGATAGAGCCTTAAAACCTATTCCATTCGATTCCTGAGGAAATTAGGGTTCTCTATAGGCAGATGGACGGCTCAGAATTGCGTTTGTCCACTTCCTACACCCTATACTAGATAAGTTAGATTAATTTTTGTTGGGGATTTCGTTTTTCGGGATTATCTCGGAAACTATGAGAGATAGAGCCTTAAAACCTATTCCATTCGATTCCTGAGGAAATTTGGGTTCCCCATAGGTAGATGGACGGCTCAGAATTGCGTTTGTCCACTTCCTACACTCTATAGCAGATGTATTAAATTAATTTTTTTTTGGGGATTTCGTTTTTCGCGATTATCTCGGAAACTATGAGACATAGAGACTGAAAACCTATTCCATTCGATTCCTGAAGAAATTTGGGTGCTCCATAAGCAGATGGACGGCTCAGAATTGCGTTTTCCACTTCCTACACTCTATACCAGATAAAGTAAATTAATTTTTTTTGGGGATTTCGTTTTCCGCGATTATCTCGGAAACTATGAGACATAGAGACTGAAAACCTATTCCATTCGATTCCTGAAGAAATTTGGGTGCTCCATAAGCAGATGGACGGCTCAGAATTGCGTTTTCCACTTCCTACACTCTATACCAGATAAAGTAAATTAATTTTTTTTGGGGATTTCGTTTTCCGCGATTATCTCGGAAACTATGAGACATAGAGACTGAAAACCTATTCCATTCGATTCCTGAAGAAATTTGGGTGCTCCATAAGCAGATGGACGGCTCAGAATTGCGTTTTCCACTTCCTACACTCTATACCAGATAAAGTAAATTAATTTTTTTTGGGGATTTCGTTTTCCGCGATTATCTCGGAAACTATGAGACATAGAGACTGAAAACCTATTCCATTCGATTCCTGAAGAAATTTGGGTGCTCCATAAGCAGATGGACGGCTCAGAATTGCGTTTTCCACTTCCTACACTCTATACCAGATAAAGTAAATTAATTTTTTTTGGGGATTTCGTTTTCCGCGATTATCTCGGAAACTATGAGACATAGAGACTGAAAACCTATTCCATTCGATTCCTGAAGAAATTTGGGTGCTCCATAAGCAGATGGACGGCTCAGAATTGCGTTTTCCACTTCCTACACTCTATACCAGATAAAGTAAATTAATTTTTTTTGGGGATTTCGTTTTCCGCGATTATCTCGGAAACTATGAGACATAGAGACTGAAAACCTATTCCATTCGATTCCTGAAGAAATTTGGGTGCTCCATAAGCAGATGGACGGCTCAGAATTGCGTTTTCCACTTCCTACACTCTATACCAGATAAAGTAAATTAATTTTTTTTGGGGATTTCGTTTTCCGCGATTATCTCGGAAACTATGAGACATAGAGACTGAAAACCTATTCCATTCGATTCCTGAAGAAATTTGGGTGCTCCATAAGCAGATGGACGGCTCAGAATTGCGTTTTCCACTTCCTACACTCTATACCAGATAAAGTAAATTAATTTTTTTTGGGGATTTCGTTTTCCGCGATTATCTCGGAAACTATGAGACATAGAGACTGAAAACCTATTCCATTCGATTCCTGAAGAAATTTGGGTGCTCCATAAGCAGATGGACGGCTCAGAATTGCGTTTTCCACTTCCTACACTCTATACCAGATAAAGTAAATTAATTTTTTTTGGGGATTTCGTTTTCCGCGATTATCTCGGAAACTATGAGACATAGAGACTGAAAACCTATTCCATTCGATTCCTGAAGAAATTTGGGTGCTCCATAAGCAGATGGACGGCTCAGAATTGCGTTTTCCACTTCCTACACTCTATACCAGATAAAGTAAATTAATTTTTTTTGGGGATTTCGTTTTCCGCGATTATCTCGGAAACTATGAGACATAGAGACTGAAAACCTATTCCATTCGATTCCTGAAGAAATTTGGGTGCTCCATAAGCAGATGGACGGCTCAGAATTGCGTTTTCCACTTCCTACACTCTATACCAGATAAAGTAAATTAATTTTTTTTGGGGATTTCGTTTTCCGCGATTATCTCGGAAACTATGAGACATAGAGACTGAAAACCTATTCCATTCGATTCCTGAAGAAATTTGGGTGCTCCATAAGCAGATGGACGGCTCAGAATTGCGTTTTCCACTTCCTACACTCTATACCAGATAAAGTAAATTAATTTTTTTTGGGGATTTCGTTTTCCGCGATTATCTCGGAAACTATGAGACATAGAGACTGAAAACCTATTCCATTCGATTCCTGAAGAAATTTGGGTGCTCCATAAGCAGATGGACGGCTCAGAATTGCGTTTTCCACTTCCTACACTCTATACCAGATAAAGTAAATTAATTTTTTTTGGGGATTTCGTTTTCCGCGATTATCTCGGAAACTATGAGACATAGAGACTGAAAACCTATTCCATTCGATTCCTGAAGAAATTTGGGTGCTCCATAAGCAGATGGACGGCTCAGAATTGCGTTTTCCACTTCCTACACTCTATACCAGATAAAGTAAATTAATTTTTTTTGGGGATTTCGTTTTCCGCGATTATCTCGGAAACTATGAGACATAGAGACTGAAAACCTATTCCATTCGATTCCTGAAGAAATTTGGGTGCTCCATAAGCAGATGGACGGCTCAGAATTGCGTTTTCCACTTCCTACACTCTATACCAGATAAAGTAAATTAATTTTTTTTGGGGATTTCGTTTTCCGCGATTATCTCGGAAA